GAAGCAGGCATCGGGGTCGACCGATACTTGGCTGCTATGTCGCAGCGAGTGCTGCTGTTGCCTGCGGCCCAAGCTAGGCTAACAGCCGTCTCCGACTTCTTGTTCACCTTCTGGTAAATGGGGCCACCAAACTCTGTCCCGTCATTTACGTCCGTGTGAAGCTGGAACCCATCAGTCTTGCAGCCAGCCGCAAAGTTAGTCGCTCTGGGTCACGTGCGACTTGGCGGTCCCAAAGTGCCTCTGGTAGCCGGCCAGCCAGCCCTCCACGAGGGAGCCCCGAAGGGAAGGCCCGGCGATGTGCAAGGTCAGTCGCAGCCCAGGTTGCTGTGCTCCCGCTTGTATCCTGTCTTTTTTTTTTCTCTTTTTGGGTCACCCCAGCGATGCACAGGGGTCACTCATGCACTCAGGAATGACTCCTGGCTGTGCTCGGGGGACCCTATAGGATGCTGGGGATCGAACCGGGTCGGCCGCGTGCAAGGCAAACGCCCTCCCCGCTGTGCCACCCCTCCAGCCCTTGTGTCCTGTCTTGGTTTTAGCATCTTTCTTCCCAGCAAGGACGGGTCAAAGGTCGGCTTCAGGCCAAGTGCGAGCGGGTCTTCCAGGCGGTTTCGGCGCCTGGCGCGTTGTCCGAGCTCCGTTTCTCAGTGAAAGTGAACCCGCCTTGTGGGGAGCCAGAGGCCTCCGTCTAGGTTCATGGCCTGGCGTCTTCCGTTCCTCACAAGCAAAAGCATCCCACCACGCGGCCCCTGGATGATGCGACTGGCCAGCCCCCTGCCGCTCTCCGCGCCTTCCGCGGACGGCGTGACCGTCTGGCCACTGGCGGTCGCTGCGACCAAGACCAGCCCGTTCTGCCTCGCGCGCGCCACCTGGCGGCTTGTAAGTGCCTTGCAGACGACGAGGCTGGTCGAGTCTTCCCGTCCAAGCCGCGCCTCCGGTCCTTCTCGTCCAGGAGCGCCCTGGCCCAGGTACCCCTCCCAGGTGGAGTCCTGCAGGTCGGGACCCCACAGCACCCCGGAGCACCCCACACATACTCGGCCCGCCGGTGCTTGGTCTCCGGGCTGCCTGCCACCGGGAGGGTCTCTGCGTTGGCGGAACCTGAGCTTGCAGATCCCGGTCCATTCTCAGATTTTGTTTTCAAATCGAGCTTCATCAAACCGAACCCGTAGTCCTGGGTGAAGACGTCTCGGGCGGGTTTGCCAAGATCGACACACGTGGGAGACACAAGCCGTCTTCTGCCTGGAGGTAGTGACGCGGGCTGCAGTGGAGGCACAGAGCGAGCGGCGGGCTGGGGCGGTGAGTTGCCTTTGGAAAGGAAACTGCCCTGCCCCTGGAAGACGCTGGCACTGGTGCCCTGCAACCCTTGGCTGCCGCTCAGCACCGCTCAAGGTCGCTTCCGGGTATTTGTGATCTTAACCCCCACATTACCTCTCAGGCCTGTTTGCACCAACCCTAAGTGGGGGTCATGTGAATTGGTATATATCAAAGAAGTCATTCAGTAGCATTTTCTTTCCCTCTCCCTCTGTGACTCGACCAAGCAAGGATTTAAATGGTAGAACCATTATGGGGTATCAGGGATCGAAACCAGGTTAGCTGCTCCAAGGCAGGCTCCTTACCTATTAGTCCCACAGGACTGCCTGCACCCACTTTAGTTTTGGGGTGCAGTTTTGTGAACAGGGCTGACTCCTGCCAGTGCTCAGAGGTCAATCTGTGGTGCCGAATGGGGTCGGCTACATGCAAAGCAGCTGAAGTTACCAGCGGAACTGTCTCTGGCCTCCCACCCATCGCCGGTGCCAGTCACTATTAAGGGTTTCACCGGGGCTTCCCACCAATCAGCCAAAAACGTGAGGCTCCTGCAAGCCCCTTCTCCGATTGGTTAAGGTATTAGGACAGTGCATAGAAAAAGAGTCCATTTACTAATTTCCAGCTTACTGTAAAAGGTTTTACTAACAGCTACAGATGAATGTCCAGGAGGTGCAGAGAACTTCCCTGCCCTCTGTAGGCAGGTCACTCTCCCATGTCTCCACGTTTCCATGAACCTGGCAGCTTTTTGAACTTTGTAATAAGTTTCATTACATAAGCTTGACTGATGGTTAATTACAAATTTTTAGTCCTCTCTGCTCTCCAGAGAATAGGGGGCAGGGCTTAAAGTTCTTCGTTTCTAAACATTTTTTTTTCTTTTTGGTGAATAGCTCCCTTCATAGAGCTTACCAAGAAAATTTCAAAGGATTTAGGAATTCCAGGTTAGAGACCAATACAATATCTATCTATCTATCTATCTATCTATCTATCTATCTGTATGTATGTATTTGGCTTTCTGGGTCACACCCTGTGATGCACAGGGGTTACTGCTAGATTTACACTCAGGAATTACTCCTGACAGTGCTTGGGGGACCCTATGGGATGCTAGAAATTGAACCCGGATTGGCTGTGTGCAAGGCAAATGCCCTACCCACTGTGCTATTGCTCCAGCCCCAATAGAGGAAAGTTTTGTGTTTTCTTTGTCTTTCCATGCCACTGATAGTACAACCGTTGTTGCAAGACTAGTTCCATATGACTTTCCAGTCATACTTGGTATCCACTGCCGTTTCTGTTGGTGACTTGACATTGCTATAGCCACTGAAGGTCTTGACAATTCGAGTCTCCTTTCCCCAATTCCAGGCCTCTGCTAGCTCAACAGTGCCTCCCCTGTCGACTACACTTCCTGTGTCATAAGCTCTTTTCTTTCCTCACCATGGGAGAATCCAGACTCTTTGGCCATTTGGCACAGATCATAGACAGTAAGAACACTCTTCCCTTCTGCTTATCACTTTAATCTGTTCCCAGAGGTTGACAGAGTCCCTCACTTGGTGGTCTTGTTCCAGGATTCCAGAAAGGAAATTGGTAAAAAACAAAATAAAACAAATCTCTGATTTTGGCTTTTTATTCAACCTTTCAACCTATTAATTAAACCCCTGCCTCCAGACCAAAGTCAGTTAATGTGTCTGACAGACTGTTTTCCCATCCCACCACTCTTGCCTTGATTTTTATGTGTTTACTGGACAAGTTTTCTCCAGATCTCATCTATAAGGACTTCATTTGTACATTAAGCCTCACCACTGAACTTTACTTTTGTCTATTACTCTCAGAAATCCTCAGGTATGTCATATGTCAAATAATGTTATAGTTTTATCCTCATGACTGCATAGAAAGTGCTCAGTTCTCCCCCAGTGCCTTTCCATTTTTCTCATGGGCTCACATTGATCACTGGGTTCTGGAACTGTTAAAGACAGTGGGAACAATGGAATACTTTGAAGTTCAAAGAATAAGGTAATGCAATTTTCGTCAACATGGATAGAACTAGAGGATATAATGCAGAATGGAGTCAGAAGGGAAGGGACTGATAAAAAATCTCTCTCTCTCTCTCCTGTGTGAAACTTAAACATATTCTCTAGGTAGTATTAAAGATCCAAAGGCAACATAATGGGAGAACTGACTCACACCATTGAGTTAGAGGGGCTGGGAGGGAAGAATGTTGGAATTCTTGGGAGAGGGAGGGGTACACTGGTAATGTGTGTGGTATTGACATTATGTGCTTGAGAAACCATTATGAATAACATTATTAACAAAAGAATCTCAATAAAATTAAAAAAACAGTGGGAAGGCAGTCCACCTGTTGCTTGCCTTGAATGCAGGAAATGAGCATCCTACCACCTGGGAACTTGAATACCCACCCACATGGCCCCAGACACTTGCAGCAGATCCACTGACAACTCTGACCCAGGAACCATTGAGGTGGCTACTTGATTTTTACATTATTTTTAGGAGCAGCGGCCCATGCATGGAATTTATTGTGTGCTACTGTTTGTAAAATACTCGAATAGTCCTGCACATGCATAATATTTCCAACTTAGACAGGAGACCATACAGGGTGCACTTTATGGCAAACAAAACAACAGAATGGTTCTGCTGCCTGGAGCTCTGAGTTGTATTCCAGGGCGTGAGGGAAGCAGGCCACCAAAGTAAAATAAAATACCAAACTACAGTGGCAATCAATACAGGTCAATAATTGTGAAAAATCAGCACATGGTTCCACTTAGTTAACCAAGCAGTTCTGTAACTATCAAAAGAAAATATTCAACATGCAGTCTTGACTTTTATGCTTCCATTAACATCTGAGTGATTGAACGACTGTTGTTTCTATGCTGCATTGCTTAATCAAAAACACTTCCAGAACATTTAAAAAATTTCCTTTGCATCAAAACATAAAAATGATAGAAAGCCAGCAGCAAATCACCCTGGTGGCTGTTTGAAGCAACTTGAGTACTCACAATAAACTAAAATTTCTCATAACATCTAGATAACCTATACATATCGTGCCTATACATCATAGGTCTATATATTAAAATTTGCAAAATGAAAACATGCATACACAAAATAGTCAAGTTTTACAGACATGATTGAATTAAAATTTACTTTGACAATGTACAAACTTCTTTTAAATTACCTTAAATGAGTAATTCTGTAATTCTTATAATTTTGAAATTTCGGTTTTATTTTTCTTAAATCTCTGGGTGTAAATCTCAAAAGATCTGGGCAAAAATTGGTTTTTAGATCTGTGTTCAAGTAAGAGAGTCTGCCTAGAAATAGTTTATGCATTCATAATTGAAAAATACCAAGACTATATTACAGAATTAGCCACATTTAAGGACTATAGACCTGAGGTCAGCATTTTGTATAAATGCCAACTGAAGGTTTTTCAACATTTTGCTCATAGTTCAAAATACAGATTAGTAACCTCCGAAATATATTTTAAGACCATGCTAATTCATTCTTTAAAGACATTTCATGAGAGGGAAAGGTCCACGTTAGTTCTTAGGATTGCATTTGAAGTCATGGTTGAAAAACAAAATCTAACTCTACTGAGGGAAAAAGAAATCTCATTTGTAAACTTAATCGTGTGAACCACAAGCATAAACGGAGGTGCAGCTGCCCTCCACCGGAAATTGCCCCAAGCCCCTGAGCACTGCTCCCCACCTCGGCAGCAATGACCCAAACGTATTAATTAGCACAACGTGTTCCAGGGCCCTCAAGCCTCCATCCAGGAAGGGGCTGGGGTTTCAAACGCACAATGGTTGATTTCTCCAGAGGGACTGTGACACTGACAGTCAGCGTGGCCGACCCCTCCAGCTCCTTGGGTGATCTGTCCATTTTGGGCCCGAGATGTGAGAGTCCCTGGGAAGCCGTGGATCACTGAGCGCTATGGCTTCCAGTCCCGTGGTTCTCAGTGGCATGTGAGGTGTTCAGAGAATTGAAACCATCTTGCTGTACAGCATCTTTCTGGGGTGGCATTCTCTCATTGATCCTATCCAAACCCTTTGCCTCTTCAAAACTGCAGATTCTATGTGGCAGAGAGAATCCTCGTATTGCTTTTTCAGCCTCAATAGCCTCAACTGTGGCACTTTGCAGAGTCTGCCGTCCTCCAGCCAACATTCCATTAGGCAGCATCCCTGTGGGAGTCAGGCCCTTGCGTGTCAGCACACTTTCACTCTCCTCCCTGAGAACAGAGAAGACCCTTGCCGTCTTGCCAATTGCTCGAATTTTGTTTCCTATGATCTCTTTCAGGGCTGCAGTTGAACCATCAAATTGGTCTTCACCTTCAGTCATCAGTTCATCATCAGAGCAAGTACTCAGAACATTTACCAACATTTCTGTCACCTTTTCTCCAACAAATGGTAAAGACCAGGTAAAGACATCCATAAAACTGCATAACCAGTAAGGATGTGGAGAACAATTAAATTGTCAAATATTCATCACATTATTTTCATATTTTAATACAGCAGCTTTATTATTGTAGACATCTAAGTAATTAGGTGCCGAAAAAATTGTTATTAATGAAGGGAACCCTGTAGTTTGACTTTTTCTGTACATTCTATAGCCTGCATCTTGAGCTTCATGGGCTCTAATAATTGATAACAAATTATTGTTTTGCAAAAATTCACACACTGCTGGATAGCTATAAAAATAAGAACATCCTTGAACTGTATTTTGACTAAAATGTTCCTGTGACTTCTCATTTCCAAAATCTTCAGAAGGATCAGACCATGACAAGTCACACATTGGTCCAAATGCAGTTGGCTCTTTGAATCTATGTAATCTCCTAATATTATCCAGTGTGTGTATTTCTGGTGAAAGTCCACCACGAACACAAAGAAACTGTTGGTTTAAAAGTGCAGCAAGAGGTGGGCTATCAAAAGCTTCCATACAAGCTTCATAGACTCTTTCTGAATATTTAACTTTACATTCTTGCTTACCACCATTTCGTCGGTAAAGAAACGAACAGCACCCGGCCCAGACAAGGTCAGACCTGAACACCTGAAGAACCTGCTGTCAGGACTCATCAATACACTGGCTCAGTTCTTCACATGCTACCTGTCTGAATGCAAGGTTCCGTGTCAATGGAAAACCAGCAGGACCGTACTACTGTTCAAGAAGGGAGACATTCATGACATTGGCAACTATCGCCCGATCTGCCTATTGTCTGTCATCTACAAGTTGTTCACTCAAGTCATCCTGAATAGGATTGGCAGAACACTAGATGAAGGACAACCATGCGAGCAAGCAGGGTTCCGCAAAGGATTCAGCACCATCGACCATATCCACACGATAACCAAGCTCATTGAGGTTTCTCGGGAGTTCAAGATGCTGCTCTGTCTAACGTTCATTGATTTAAAGAAGGCCTTTGATTCTGTTGAGACGGAAGCGGTCATTGAAGCCCTAGCCAATCAGGGCATTCAAGCCCAATACATCAGGATCCTCCGTGAGCTGTATTGCGGATTCACTACCAGGATCTCACCATTCTACAGGGAGGTGATCATTGACATCAAGAGAGGGGTTCGGCAGGGTGATATCATTTCACCAAAACTCTTTAGTGCCACCCTCGAGAACATCATGCGATGACTGGAATGGGAAGGAATGGGAGTGAAGACAGATGGTCGGCAACTACACCACCTCCGTTTTGCTGATGACATTGTTTTAATAACACCAAACATTAGCCAAGTGGCACAAATGCTGGCTGACTTCGACCGTGAGTGTGGAAAGGTCGGACTACAATCTTATGAAGACAATGTTTATGAGAAACAGCCTCGTTCCTGACACTCCATTTTGCTCTCAATGGAATGACCATCTCTGAATGCAACAGTTATGTGTACCTAGGTCGAGAAGTCAACATGACAAATGACCTGGCACTCAGGCTGCGCAGGAGGGAGAGAGCGGCTTGGAATGCCTTCAAGAGCATTGAAGAAATAGCTAAGAGGACAAAGAAACTCCAGCTCTGGGCACATCTCTTTGATTCCACTGTTCTTCCTGCATTAACATAAACCTCAGAGACCTGGGCCCTACGTAAACAGTATGAGAATGCTATTCTGGTCTGCCAAAGAGGAATTGAAAGAGCTGTGCTTGGAGTATCACGTTTCACTCAAATGAGAGGAAGAATTCGGAGTTCAGAATCAGGGACGCTGTCTGCTGTCTCGTTTGCCAAGGTGTCAAAAATCAGATGGGCTGGTCACGTAATGAGATTTAGAGATGACTGCTGGACTAGAGCCATTACCAACTGGATTCCATGGGATGTCAAAACACCACGTGGCTGCCCACCTACCAGATGGTCATACTTCTTCATCAAGATTGTGAACGATCAGTTTGAGGCTCTTTGTGTTCCTAGAACGAACAGATGCCATTGGGCTACACTAGCACGCGACAGGGACAAATGGAGATGTTACTGGCGCCCGCTCGAGCAAATCGCCGATTAATGGGAAGTCAAGTGATCAAGTGAAGTGATTCTTGCTTAAAGGTAAAATATTCAGTTAGGTGTCTGCATTCATGGTTGCCTCTTAGAAGAAATAATGTGGTTGGGTACAGAATCTTCAGGACCCATAAATATAAGACACACTCTATACTAAAATAACCTCTGTCCACATAATCACCAAGAAAATGGTATCGTGTATTAGCAGGTGATCCTCCTACTTCAAAAAGTTTCATCAGATCAAAAAATTGGACATGGATGTCACCACACACTGTAATTGGACCTCCTACTTCTATCATGGTTTTCTCTCTCCAAAGGATGGCAGCACCCTCATTGATAATTCTAAGTGCAATTTCTTCATCTACCCGACCTTCTTTTACTAAGTGATTCTTCAGAACATCAACCCTTGGTATCCCATCCATATCAAACACTTCTTCAGATGTCAAGCAATGTGTTGGGGGAAAAGGAACAGACCTGAAGAGAAAAAAAAAATCCCAGCTGTAGGGTAATCCATCAGGTTCTGTGTGGTCCGGATGCATTTCTGCTAAAAGCCGCTGGGTTTTGAGATTTGTTTCTGAGTTTCTGGGATCATGGCCGTTAAGCAACTTGATCAAGAGCCAGAGAGGCCATTCGTGGGCGATGACTTGCAGTCTCGTTGGGGTGGGGAGGACAGGCCCGGCTCCACCCCCATCCTGTGAGGCCCAAAATGTCTCATCACTGTGGGCCCAGACCTGACTGTCCAATGGCCTCTGGAGGATGGCAGCCACTGAGCCACCTAATAGGACTGTAAGTTCAAACCTGTGGTTAACAGAAGAAAACGGGGAAGAGGGTATGTAAAGGTGTCAACTTCATGATTAAGGATAATATTGGATTTTTAATGATGAATTAAAGTGGATTTTTATTGATACTCTGAAACAAATCTTATAGTGCAATGCTACTTCAGTTAAGAACTTTAAAATAAAACTAAATTGAGGAGAAAAAAAAGATATATTATCCAGACACCAACCTCTGGGCTCTACAAGTCTAGAGCTGCTAGCCATCCCTATCCTGCATATATACATATGAAACATGTTGGAGTACACGGAGCTTAGGTTTATCAGATTGTACCCATCACAGTGCTCCCGAGTCACTCCCATTACTTTGTCTGTAACCACTTCTATGCTCTCTTCCCCAACCAATTTGTAAGGTCTCATCCTTCTTAGACACTGAAGCTGTACTGTAAGTTAATATTGCCTTTCTCCTCTCCTTATGTCTTTTGAGCAGTTTACTTTAATGCAATGTCCTTTTGTATAGATACAGGAAGACAATTAATTAATATGCTCCATAACTTAGGAATTGATTGGCTTTGAATATTATTCACTCCTGAGCATCTGCCTTCTCAACTTAAGCCTCAGTTGCCCTCACTTCCTAGCACCCCAAGGGCAGGGTCCCGACGTGGGACTGGATGGAACCAGGGCAAGCAGGTAAGTTATGTGCTACCCTGGCATCGCGATGGGCCAGGCCAAGGTGCCACGATTCTTAACTATAAGTTAAGAGGTTGGTCATAGGCAAATGATGTCATGATCCAATAGTAACGACGAGACTAGGGCCCTGCTGCTAGGAATAGGAAAGATATCTGGCCTGAGCACTGCAGTCTGAGATCAAGATGGCCCTAGGAGAGCAATTCTATAAGCTCAAAGTATTTCTTACTGTGTCCATACAAAATGATTAATATTATGTATGCTTATATGTTGGTTGGACAAGGAGAGGAGAAACAAGTCCTAGAAGCAGTTTTCCTGTGTTTTCTGACTAGCTTGGATGAGACTGCTTTCTCCCTTTCAAACTGTCTTCAGTAAATGATTTCAGCATATTGAGACAGTTTCCCCTTTCTCTCAGAACCCTGGCTGGTCTTAGATATGCAGATCTCAGGTGGTAGCCAGGCTGGTCTTTGGGATGCAAATCAAGGTGCTTGCAGCTTGTGAAAGTGCTTGTGAAAGGTTTCAGCTTGGCTTTGTATCTTCTTTCCCGAGGCCAGTATTACTGGCCTGCTGATGTAAGGAAACAATGTGGATGTAAGGAAACAATGTATGGTTTGCCGCCTCAATGTTCTTTCTGTAACTTCTTTTGATGACATCACTATATTGCACCCTTTAGAGGTACTATGATCTATATAAGGGAGATTTCAGGGCTCTCTGGGGGGACACGTGCATCAGAGAACCTGGGAAGATGGGGCTGAGGACAGAAACTGAGAGAACAAAGGCGCACGTGCTTGAGGATTCCTGAGGCCTCCATGACATACAGCTCTTCCATGTAATAGACGGCTGCTAAGACCAACCAGCTTGGCCTCGTTTCCTTCCTTCGCCTGACCATCGCTATCACCCTCCCTGGAGTGGGGAAGTTGCCTGACCGCCAGCCGTTTTATTTTTTGTGTGTTTATCCAAAACATATATTGAAAGAATCCACATTAGGGCATCAAATTTTTGTGTACTTTAGCTAACTTGCAACATTGCTTTCTGTAAAACTGCTTGGCTGCTTTGCACCTGGGGGAGAGGGGACTTGGAAAGTGAACAGGGCATAACTTCTTTTCTAAACCAAGTGTGACAGGATTCAGGTGTATTTACTGTCCCTGAAATGTATTGTCTCAGTAAAGCACCCTGCAGATTTAGGTAAAGGATAACTCAGGATGCGGGTGGTTGGGGGAAATTGCCCTTTCCTGGAATGTATTGTCTCACTAAAGCACCCTGCAGACTTGGGTAACTCAAAAAGAGGATGGTCAAGGGAGATTACCTAAGGCTTAATGATTCCAGCTATAACCTTGCTTGTGCTGACAATCGATGTATGTAAATGCTGATCTTTGAATCTATAGGCTAAGGGGTGAGGTACTTTTAAATGGATTGGTTAAGAAAGTATATGTTGTTACAAATCTATTGGCTATGAAATGCGCGGGCTTTGCTGTAAGGGCCAGTGAAGGCCTATATAAGATCCCCTTTGAAGAAGTTCGGGGCTCTCAGCCACTGCCCGTTTTTGGGGTATGCTGCGGAGCCCCAGCATGCTGGTCTAAATAAACCCCGTTTTTACTCCTGCAGGAATTGTGTCTATCTGGTCTCTCCGCGCCTCCCAGGGCTAGGGAACTCCCGATCCCAACATTTGGAGGTCCCACCGAGATCACCGAGGACCCTGCCCCAGGGACGCCGGATTGAGCCGCGGGGTAAATTAAGGCGCCTCTTTCTCTCTCTTTGTTTCTTTGGTACCGTTTTACTGTAGTTACGGATCAGTGACACAAGCACAGTGGTGTGCAGCACAGTGACAGTGGTGTGCAGCACACTGGTGTGTGTGTGAGCCTTGTGTCTGACAGACGTGTCGGGAATAGACACGGGCCGCAGCCCTGGGGGACGCCCCAGAGGTGGATGAGGGCCAGGGACGCCTGGAGGCCTCTTTTGTGGTAGCCTCGGAGAGGCTACATCTGGTGTGTCAGGAATCATCGGCCGCTCTATTACTTCTCTATTCTTCTTTCCTCTCCAAAAGGTCTTGCGCTTGCGTCATTCTTTTTTGTAGGTTGGATCACGCTCGTCCTTTTTCTCTACCGAGACACCATCTTTGGAACCATGGGACAATCTCCGTCCACTCCTCTCACTCACTCTCTCCCACTGGTCAGAGGTCTGCTCTCGTGCTCAGAATCTTTTTCTGATTGTTAAAAAGCCTAAATGGCAGACCTTTTGCTCTGCAGGATGGCCGATGTTCCAGATTGGTTGGCCCCCCGAGGGATTGTTCCACTCGCCGCTTATCTTCCAGGTCAAGGGAGTCATCTACCAGCCTGCTCCCCGGGGGTACCCGGACCAGGAGCCTTAGGCAGGAGTGCCAGGCCAGGGGGAGAAGGGGCCCCCACTTACTCTGCTCCTCCTCTGCCCCTGAACCCCGAACTCTCTATTGCCACTCCCGGGCCAGCACTGGCCTTTCCCTACTTCCGATCTCTTCACTTGGAAGAACTAAACCCTCTGGAGGTGAAAAATCATGTGCATGCCCTTTGGGCATATTTGGGAGTCCCAGGGTGACTGGTGAGTGTGGTGCACACCCGTGTGAAAGAGTGGACCGGTCCGAGCGAGTGCCTAAGTGTGATCTCTGCGTGTATCCATAGTGTGTGTATTTATTATCTTTCTCCTAATTCTGTTTATTAAGATTGTTTAATACGGGTCAGAATTGATCACTTCTCTGAGATCCACAGGAAAGCTCAGGATCTGGGCTTGATGATCAAGAAAGGTAAATTTGACACTTATTGTTCATCAGAATGACCTTCCTTCGGTGTGGATTGGCCCCCACGAGGTTCCTTCTCTCCAAACCTTGTGGCTCAGATAAAGGAGGTAATCTGTGGAAGATCTGCTGTGAAGTTCTCCTCCAGGCAAGCATCTGAATAGTCTCTGCAAAGAGGCACCCCTCCTTTGTCTGTCTTGCATCACCATCCACTATGGGGGGGATGGGAGGAAAGCCCACTAGTGAGAAGATTCTGGGAAACTAAGGCAGATCAATTTACAGGCAGAAAATCCTTTTCCCCACCCAGTCTCAGCTAGAGGTCAATTCAAATGCTAATGAAGGCAGTCCAGATGTAAGGCAGAAAGAAAAAAAAAGGGGTAAAAGGCAGGTAAAAAGCCTAAGAAAAGCAGCAAGCCAGCAAAAAGCAGGGAAGATGTAGCAGAGAAGGCAGAACTGTTTTTTTAAGGAGCAGAGTTTTTACCTGGAGAAAAGTTTTGCCAAGGAACCATCTTTTTTATAGATTATTGCTTGCAATTAGGAAAGCATCTGAGGAGCTTCCAACTAGGTAGTTTTAGATAAGGAGATCTTATTGACCTCTGTAACACCATGTGGCCTGAGTATAGTGGGGGAAAGATAGCCAGTGAATGGCAGTTTGCATTACCAGATCATTTTGCAGTCAGATCTTTGCAGGTAACAAAAGAAATAGGAGAGTATCAGCAGAGGAGGCAGGAAAATGCAAGATCTTATGATTAACTGTTTGACATCAGAAACAAAGAAGCCTATCCCCATGTCTGATAGGAAGGTACTAGTTCCCTGCCTCAGAATTAGCCTTGGCGAAAATATGGTAACATCTTTGTCATAGTTTATTTTGCCGGCTTATATCAACAAAAGCGCTTTCTTGACCCATTTTTAACAAGTGGGAGACTGACTAGTTAGGCTGGGAAATGAGGAGCAGAGTTCCCAATCAGCCGCCCTGGGAACTGTCCCTTCCTTTCTCAGTCCATCAGTTTCTCCCTGCCATTTTTTTGAAGGGTCAGATTGATCGATCAACTACAGATATGTGCACATGTACTGTGTGGTGTTTTCGTCAGTTCACTGTCTGTCTGTGTCCGTCTGTCTGTGTCTGACTGTCTGTCTGTCTGTGAGTCTGTGTGGAACACTTGAGTGTTGGAACCAGGCTGAAATCAGAAGTAGAAATTTTAGAGAAGTT